GAGAAGACCAGAGACACTGGCGGCAGGAGCGTCCCTTCCACAGTCAGCCCCCAGGGCCCAGCTGCCTCTGCCGGGCCTCACCTTCTAACAGTACATTCAGCCGCAACCTCATCAGTTGATTCATCTCTTGGCACAGTTAGCAACCGCATGACCTAAGCACTGTCCAGAAGTCCCACCTGTACACATGCGAGCCTTTTGAAGTATGTTTTGATCCAAACTGTAACAATAGGAACACTCTAAGCCAGCTTTGAGGAACTAATATTTGAAATGTGGATGTTCCTATCTTTTTAATGGACACAAAGACATACATTTAATTCACACCTATATCAGTTTCTAGCTTGTGTGTCCTGAGATAGTCCTCAAAATAAAGTTCTTGACTGAAGGTGAGCCTGTGACTCAGCTTACCAGGTATCACTGTACCTCCCAGAACACCTTTCACTGTCTAGATTGAGTTAAGCTTGCTGTAATGTATTGCATAGAAAGAAGCAAATTAACCAGTGATACCAAACATGTTCAGCAAATAATACAAATCGTATATACAAAATTGTGAGTAAAAAAATCTCCCTACAAACAGCCAGGGATTTTCCTCCCAGGGCAGGACACTTTCTCAGCTGGCTGCAGCCAGCCAGGGTTGTCCTGGGCTACCAAAGCCTCCCCTGGGAGGAGGTCTATCTTTCTGTAGAAGCAGTGAAATGCATTGTTTCCAGCAGCTGATGGTTGAGGAAAGAAAGCCTTGGGCTTAGGGTAGATGGCTTTGCTGTCACACTAACCTTTTAGCCCTTCCCTGACACATTTTAATCAGTTCTAGTACTTTAAAGGAAAAAAATGTGAAAAGACTGGGCCTGAATTTATTTTTTTTCTAAAGCTAGCATATTTAAGAGGACTTCAAAACAAAGCAACACTAGAGAGAAGGAGGCCTCACATGTCAAAATGATCAATCTACCACAAATACATAAAAATTCCAAATGGGTTTTTGTTACTTAAAGTAACAAAAACTGAAAATATGAGAAGTAAAATTTGACCAAACTAAAAAGACCGAATCGGGCCAGCGAGATAGCTCATCAGACTAAAGTGCCCGCGTAGGCAGGCTTAGGAAGCTCAGGCAAGTGCCAGACTGGTTCTGTCCCTGCACCACATGTGGCGCCAGCCCCGCCCCAGGACAAGCTGTGCCAGGGCGCGCTGAGCAGGCCAGAGTCCGGGGCATGGGCAATTTTAGGTCTTTAAAATTTGTTAAGTTTGCCTTATGACTCAGCGTGTCTTCAGTTTTGACAGTTGTTCACGCGCACTTAGAGCGTTTATTCCCTCCTTCACTGTGAGGAGGGGTAGGCTGTCTGCTCGTTGGCTCACTGGCACTTTTCCCCTCACTTTTTCTATCAGTTGCTGAGAGAAGCATATTAAGACATCCTGCAACTGTTGTGGATTTGATCTTTTTTTTTTTTTTTTTAATGTATTTGGTTGTTACAGGGTCTCATCATGCAGCTCGGACTCATAGTGATCCTCCTGTTTTCAGCTTCCCCAGAGCTGGGATGAGCCTGAATCTTAAAAGGCTGCATTTGACACGCCTCTCACTTCACATGTGAGCTGTTTGAAGGGCTGTGGGTGACACAGCTGCACACCCAAAAGCAGGTCGCCAGAAGCCCCTTGCTTTCAAGACACAACACTCGCATCAGTGTTTTGTTTTGTGAACCTGTGCTGTTCACTTCTCCTCTGAGGTGGGCACCGAGAAGCAGTCTGGGCCCTCATGGTGGGCTGGCTGCACCAGGGTACCTGCTCTCCAAAAATCATCTTTTGCCATCTCCTCAGCTCCAGCAAGACCTTAGATCTACAGAAAGAGCTGCAAGACCCTGCAACTGTTTCCATCCAAAATAAGTACTAGAATTAACTGGTAAAGTGACAGCTGTGAAATTGTGCCCTTTCTTACCATGAAATGCACATTTCCTGCTGGACTGCTTTCTTTGTAGTATGAAATCATGCATTTTTAGAACCCTGTGGTGATCAGGGCCATTGTCCTTTCTTGGGATTTAAACGCTTGTGCACTTCCTTGTAGAAAGGACAGCAAAAGAGTTGAGGTCAGATCAGCATCACTATAATATCAAGATGGTGTGGTCTTCTCCTACACTGAATCTTCAATAGTCTTTTCTTTCTTTCTTTTTTGGTACCTGGAATTGAACTCAGGACCTTGTTGCCAGGCAAGTACTGTGCTGTTGAGCTATATCCCCAGCCCCAGTTTTTTCAACAGAAAGACTATTGTGGCTGAGCAGGGCCTGCTTTGTGTACCTCTGGTGTGGCTGTGGTTGTGTCTCTGTGTGATCCTACACCCTACTCTGCACAGGCTCTGCACTGGGAATAAGCCTGACCTCATACAGCCAAGAGGTGGTGGCAACCTTCAGGAGTCTTCAGAATGTCTGGGGCTCCTCCTGCGAGTGGTGTAGAAGCTTGACAGCATCCATGTGACTGGTAGTTAACAGCCTAAGGGTAGCTAAATGCAGATGGTTATTGCTCAGTGCTGGTGCCAGTGGGCCTCCCTGTGGGCTGGAAACTCTTTCCATCTGCCTTGTCCAGGATGAGGCTGCTAGTCACATGGGATGCAGAACATCGAAATGTAGTCAGTACAACCAAATAAGTGGGGTTTATACTCTCTTTAATTTTAATTACTTTAAGGGGCAGTATATGGCAAGAGGCATTTGGAAAAACACCAGTGTTTCATATAAAGGGTTGTGGTTGACCACTGAGGTTTAGCAGGATGGGAAAAAGTTCCTTTTAATGTTTTATAAATACACTCATTTGCTAGATCAAACATGTGCTCTCCCTGATTACGTGTAATAAGTGAGGTTTGAACTAGTCAATTTGATTTCCTCTTGGAATATCAGCCTGAGGTCCAGCTCCAGGCAGGAGGACACCCTTGGGAATGTCCCTTGGAGCTGTGGTCCCTTTCAGATTGTGAAGAAGAATACGGAGAATGGTGCAGGAAAGTGATGCTTTTTGGCCTGAGACACTGCCTGCCTTGCTTGTGTTGCAGGGCATCAAGCCCTCAAGGCTGGATGGGCACAGAGGCCTTGAAGGAAAGCCGGCTCCCTGTCCCTGTCCCTGTCTCCACGCAACTGCTTCGCAAGAGGTCCTGTTGATTCAGAAGAGCCCAGACCACACAGCTCAGCACTTGCCTTCATGCGCTCCTCAGTGGCAGACCAGTGCTGTCTGGGCACCATGCTGGGCCGGGTGCTATTAGTGATGCTGTGGTCGAAACAAGCAATGGCAGGTGGCTAGAGGCACCATAGAGGCCCTACGGAGTCATTAGGGTGAGGTGGTGCAGGACGAGGTGGCTTCAGGAAAGAACTGGTGGGTGGAGGACTTGAGCAGGAGTGCTGGCTCCTGAGGGGGAAGAGCAGGATTAGTACCGGGGATTGAACTCAGGACCTTGTGCTTGCCAGGCAAGTGCTTATTCTACTAAACTATCCCCCCCACCCCATTCTTAGCTGCCTCTCTTTCTTCTGTCGAAATTCTTCTTGGTCAACCTAGATGCTCTTTTCTACATGGATTGGAGTCCGTCAGAAGTGCCTTCCTGCTCCTTCTCATCTTGGTGCACATAGCCCCTTGCGCTACAGCACCTCCCTGAGACCCTCGGTGCCTGTGTCTTCCCTCTGATCCCGTAGCTTTTCTGCTGGGAAGCCCTGCTGGCCCTGCCTTCAGCCAGTGCCATCAGCAGCGCACTTCCTTTCACTCTGTTCCCATGGTATCTAGCTGGAACTTGTACTCAGGGGCTGGGCAGACCCAGCCCATTTGCCAGCCTTGTGCATCCGCCTAGCCCAGCAGCCCACGGCACAGCCAGATCACATTACCCTGTAAACCCCACTCTCACACTTGTACACACTGTGCCATGCCCGCTCCCTGTCAGTGTTGGTGGGCCTTGTCACCACAGGGCCTTTGCACTGGCCATTCCTTCCGTCTGTCTGCTCCCTGTTCACCCCAAGGCAGATCCTAACCACACTTCTCAGCTGTATACCAGCCTGGAGTTGTGCTACATGCATTTCTCCCATAACCACCTCGTACTCCCCATGGCTCAGCCAGCAGTCCTGGGAGTGGGTACTTTTTCTTCCCCCTCCTAAAGCATAAGATCCCTGAGGCAGCTGCTCTTGTCTGGATGCTTCAGCACCTGGAGGCACCTGGTAAGTATGCGACAGCAGCAGTGGACACATGGCTGTGTGCTAGCGCTGCAGCTGACCGCCTCGCCCTCACCAGGTTTTTAGGCTGCTTCCATTTCCATGTGCTGAGTGGTTTGCCCTTAGGCGGATGTCATTGGCCAGACATCAGACTGTTCCCTCAGGGTAGAGTCCAGGAAGCAGTCATTGACCTAGTAACAGTAACACTCTGAGCTTCTGGCACATTCTGGGAGTTGGTGGCTTTGTGAACTCTCAACAGTGCAGTGAGCTCCCCCATGTCATCAGCACTGGTATCAATGTCTAAGCTTTGGCTAAATTAGTAAAGGAAACTGCTGTTGTTGAAGTGATTTCCCTCGTTCTCTTAGGTACAGTGGATCTCTTTTCTACCCCCATACAGGGAGGCCACAGCAGAGGCCCTCAGTGGCCCACACTTGGGCCCTCAGCAGGCAGGACATGTGCAAGAAAGTGATTTGCTTCTGTGACTGTGACCATCACTAATCCCTCCTGCACCTGCTGATTTTGTGAAGCTGCTAACATAAGAAATGCCAGATGATACAAACCCCAAGGCCACTCTGAGCGCCTGGTGAGACCTGAAAAGCTGCATGGTTCTCAGTGTGCTCAGATATATGGCCAGGACAGTGTCAGTGTCACCTACAAGTGGGGTTCTCACTTCATGGCTCAGGGACCCGTATCTCCCTGGGGATAGCTCAGCTCTGTACCTTTCTGAGCCCTGATCCCGTCTCCTGTCCTCAGAACACAGCACCACATGGCCAGACCTCAGAACCTCCTGCAGTTCTGTGTGGATCACCAACAGCTTACACATCCATTATTCTTTCTTTGTAGATGACATTTTATGTTCTGGTGAAGGCCATTTACACCCTGGGCTACAGTGTCTCGCTGATGTCTCTTGCAACCGGAAGCATAATTCTTTGCCTCTTCAGGTAAGGAGCAGAAATGAACAATTCTGCAGAAAGTGAGCCAAGCAAGGTTTCCAGTTTTTGGCACCACACAGGGGAAGGAGATGGCCACCTCCAGCCTGGAGCCACTGTGTGCCGAGCCCTTGGATCATGTGAGCATGGAGTGTGTATCTAGAGTCTGCCTTTCCAGTGTGAAGAGATGATGCAGTGCTGACCTTGGGTAAGATCCACCCAAGCTATCAGTTACTAAACCCCTAGGCGTCACACAAATGCATGAAAATGCAAGCGCAGTATGGTCTTCCCTCGCCACTTAGAAGGTCTTGAGTGTCCTACTGAGAGGCCACTGCACTCTCTGTCCACATGGTCGGGCACAACTGAGCCAGCCTCTCTGTGCAGCTGTAGGGTGCAGAGACAAATGCAGCCACGTCAGAGGTGGCCGCAGGACAGCGCTGGCGGATCAAGAGGGCTCAGACTGCACATGCCCGTGACTAGCACCTGTGGTCTGCCAGTTCTTTCTCAGTGGTTTCTAAGGACACACTGTCAGTCTTGCCCTACGGTCCAGCTGTGACCTACCTCACTTACGTATGAAAATAATGTAAATTCTGCAGTTGTTAATTTACATCAGTGTTTTAGCTGCTTATTCTAAAAGTAAATGTATTAAACTGCCAACTACAATTGTGGGGTTACTCATTCTACTTTTTATTTCTTTCATTATTTGCTCTATGTATTTTGGTTGTATTTTTAAGCTGTGTTTTAGTAGTATACCGGCTTTGTTTAATAAACCCCATTGCTTTAAAGTCTACTTTCTCTGCTATAGTTAGTTATATTTACTGTCTTATTTTGTGTTTGCAAAGTATATTATAATCTATGCTTTCATTTTTCAATTTTATATTTTATTAATTTGAGTATCGTACAAGCTTTATTAATTGAAGCATGAAATTTGCTTTTTATCCCCAGCCTGACAATCTTTATTTTAAAATCTTTATTTTAAAATGCACTATTTTTATAACCGCAGATTGACAATATTGAGTTTTAATCTCGCTTCCATGTCTTTGATTTCCAGTTGTCTCCACTGTTCTTTGTTGCTTTTGTGCTCACTGCTTGCTCTTTTTGAGTTGGTGGAGTGTTTTCTGCTGTTAGTGTTTCACTGTTAGTTTTCCCATTACACTGTTAACTATGTGATCCTGGTCTTACTCCTCTAGTTATCACTCACATTCACAGCACACATAGAAGCCTCCAGACTACTTTTACCACTTTCCCTGATTTCAAGAACATTGCAACTTTTTAACTCCATTTACCCTCTCACAACTGCACATACGCCAAGTCCCACGGGTGTCGTTGCTGCAGTCGTGTGAGTTGCTGTCTACCAGGATGTTCACAGGTTTGCCTGTTTCCATCCAGAATCCTCCTCCCGCTTCATGAAGATCCCAGAGCATTTCAGAATTCTCATGAGCTTTGGTTGCCTCGAATCGTCTTAACTTTGCCCTCATTTTTCAGGTTATTTTTGAGAGTGCCAAGTCCCTACTTAGGTTTACTTTTCTTGTCGCACTGAGGATGTGCACCCTTGCTTTTTCTGCAAAGTCAGATGTGAGTCTCGCTATTGTTCCTTGTGTAGTGTCTTTTTTCTCTTGATGATAAGATGTTTTTTTCTCTGTGTTTGGTTTTCATCAGCGAAATGCTTGCGAGACTTAATGTGACTTTCTGTGCATTTGTTTTTTATGATGTTTAGGAAGTTTTTTTGATTTGTTATTGGTTTTTTGTCAGTTTTAAGAAAAGTCTTCTACTCTCTAGGAGACTGCTTCCACCTGCTCCCTTCCTAAGACCCCATTTTCATGATGTGCAGTGTTTTCACCATTTCTCGCACGCTTTGTTACCATTCTGCTCTTTTCTATTACTTAGCATCTATCTACTGTGACTTCATGTGTTCTACAGACCCAACCCATAAAGTTCTCAATTGCTGTATCTAATATATTCTTAGCCCCATATACTTAGCTCTTAACTTCAGCAATTTTAAATTTCAAATTTTCTATTTGATTTTTTAAATTAATTCCATGCTCTACACTAAGGTGTAAAAGGCATGGGAAAGCCACAAAAACCTTGACACATGGAAAGAGAAACTCAACAAGCACCTCATGAGCATCTACTCTCTCAGACCAAAGAAAGGAGCAGCAGGCAGGAATAAGGAGGCTACAGCAGTGGCAGACAGTCTGCGCCCCGAAGGCAGAACGAGTTGAGATTAGGCTTGCTCAAGGCAGAATCTGCAGGACACAGCAGTTATGAAGTAACCTGTCCGAATGCTTCATGGATGCTCACACACAGCTAAGCACAGACACTCTGAGGCTGACGCAGGTGGTCCTTGCAGATGAGTAGAATCCCAAGAGAAGGCTTACGGGAGCACAGGCTGGGTGGAGGACCGCATAAGCTACCCCATGCAGGGAGGAGCAGGAAACACTATGTGTGCTTGTAAACAAGAATAGTACCAAGAAAGATTGAGTACTTATAACTGACCTAAACAAGGCAGTGAGAGACCTCTACAAGAAAATGACAGGGCTCCTTAAAGAAGATGAAAAGAAACAGCAGAAAAATAGTACACTCTCTGCTGTTCCTGGATAGGCAGATACTGTCAAAATAGCCATATTTCTAATTCTTACATACAGATTTAATGTAGTCCTAGTCAAAATATCAACAAGATTCTTCACAGAACTAGAAAAACAACCCTAAAATTCATATGGAACTACAAAGTTATCTAGAATAGCAAGAGCAATCCTGGAAATGAGCAAAGCTGCGGAATGACAACTCCAGGTCTGCAGTTGTGTTACAAAGCTGCAGGGATAACAATAGCATGATACTGATGCGGAAAGAGACGTGCATCAGCGGAACAGAACAGAGGATGCAGAAACGGCCCGGACCATTCAGCCACCTCATCTTCGACAAAGAGGCCAAAAGCACGCTGGATAAACGACAGTCTTTTAAGCAAATGGTGCTGAGAAAATTGCCTATATTCATGCTGGAGATTGAAGCTAGACATGTGCTAAACCAAGAACAAAATGGAACCAGTATTAAAACAGAAGCACTAGAGAAATTAAAAATAAGACAGAAACAATACACTAGAAAATAAAATAAATAAAACTCTTGAAGTCATGGATGTAAGCAAAGACTTTCTGAACAGAACCCCAATTACAAAAGGAATAATATCAAAGGTCCACAAATGAGATTATATTACATTTAAAAGCTTCTGCACAGAAAAAAAAAAAAAACAGTGAACAAAATAGACAACCTACAGAATGGGAATTTTTTTTCCTAGCTATACCTTGGACAGAAGACTAGTACCTAGAATATATAAAGAATTGAAAAAAAAAAAAACAGACCCTCCCAAATAAAAGACCCAACCAAAAAATGGACACCTGAAATGAGTAGATATTTATCAGAAGAAAAAATATAAATGGCCCATAAATACATAAAAAAATATTTAGCATTGCTGGCCATAAAAGAAATGCAATTAAAATAACACAGAAGGGCTGGCCTGTAAAGCGCCTGCTTAGGCAGAGCTCAGCAGCCTGGGGTTTGATCCCTGGCAGCCTGTGCCGGCCCCACCCCTTGGGGCACACTGAGAAGGCCATTGAGACTGGGCGTGGTGGCACTTGGGAGGCTGAAAACAGGAGAATCACTATGAGTCCAATCTACGTAGTGAGACCCTGTAGACCCTGTCCTAAGCACAGAAAAAAAAAAAAAAAAATAGCATAGACATTCTATCTTACTCTAGAAAGAATAGTTGTCATCAAGAAATCACAAACACATGCTGGCAAGACTGTGGTGAAAAAGAAATCCTGCATTGTTGGAGAGTGTAAATTAGTACAACCACTATGGAAATCAGCATGAAGAGTCCTCAAATCCTAAAATTGGAAATTCTGTTTTACCTGGTATTCCTCCCTAGTGTCTTCCCAGAAGAGCTAAAGGCACCATGCTGTGTAGTACGTGTATATCCATGCTTACAGCAGCACAGTTAGCAAATGCCCTATCCACACATCAATGGCTAAAGAAAATGTGGTATTTACACACAATGGAATATTACTTTGCTACAAAGAAAGACAAATCTGAGCAATTTGTAGGAAAATAGATGCATCTTAAAATCATAATGTTAAGTGAAATAAACCAGACACACAAACTTAAATAGTGTATAGTTTCTCCCATATGAGAAAGCCAAAGTATAAATTACATAAAGAATAAAATAAAAGATAGCCAAAAGGAATTAGGAAGATAGATCTGTTGCAAATGGGAAGGGGTTCAAGAGAAGGAAGACGGGAGGGAGGAGAGGTAGAACACAGTTAAGACACTGTATGTCATGTATAACAGATCTACAGCACGAGTCATCACTGTGTATTGCAAACATGTACTGCTAAGTATAAAATAACATAAGAGTAACCCAAAATAAAAGAAAATGGGGCTGAGGAAACACTGACACCTAAGAATGGAGAACTTTGGATGCTAATTTGAGAATTTTTGAGTGGGAAAGACAAATTATCATTGCCCCAGACAGGTGGGCCCAGCAAAACCTACAGAAAAACAAGCAAATACTCTGGAGTCCGGGGACACCCTGCTGTACCCAGCACTGCTGTGGCTGCCGAGGGCTTTGCCAGGTGTCTGCGAGAGGGGCCCAGGCCAGCACCTTCCTGTGTGGCGGCCATGCAGAGACATAATACCAGCTACTTGGGTGATTTTACAAGTTCTAGGCTTCACATCTTAAAGACAGAAAGAAACCAGTGAAATTAATTGTAATAATGCATTTTATTTAAATCATTGGACCTAAACTATCGTCAGTTCAACCTGCAGTCAACTGCTCAGAGCGTTGGTTAACATCAGCCTGTTCACAGTAAATCATCGAAATCCAGTTTTCCATTTGCAAAGCACTGCTGAATGTGGCCACTAAATTTGTATGGGAAATACTTGATGTACATTTAGATTTCATAAAATTTGCAGTTGAAAAGTTGCTGGAATGTATATCAACAGTCCAGACTTTAAAGTTCTAGCAAATGTACCAGGCACCCAGTGTCATTTTCACTAATATTCACAATTGTCAAATATTGTCAAACCAGATGTGGCCTAGGGAGGTAGCTCAGTGATCTAAGAGCCTGCCTGGCAAGGATGAGGACCCAGCTCAATCCCCAGTACTGCATGCCCCGCTGGCCACTGAAACTGGGTGTGATAGTGCACACTGTAACCCCTGCACTGGAGAGGCTGAGACAGAAAAGTCACTATGAGTCTGAGCTGTGTAGCAAGACTCTGTACCAAATAAATAAGTAAAATAGAAAAAAAGATTTTAAAAATTAAAATAAATAAAGCAAACATATTGTATACAATCTTTCTACCTGCATTAAATAGCCTTCCTGACTCTTGTGCCACCAAACTCAGCGCAGTGTGCTCAGGGGACTGTGAGTCGCACTGTCACTGGCTGCTCACTGAGGCCCTGGTCGGATCTGTGCTGTTCCCAGGAGCCTGTGAGCCAATTTGAAAAAGGAGCAGTCCTGTGAAGGCTCTAGAACTCAGAGCAATCTGGCCAAGGCAGGATTGTGCTGCTCACTGCCTCCTGTTTCATATTCAAATGAGATTCTCCCTTGACAGGTAGAAACTGGGGAAGGTAGAGAGGAAGGAGGACGGTCCAGCCCAAGTCCAGCCTACCAGCCTGAGTCCTGCGTGCAGCAGGAGATGCCAGAGGAAGAGGCAGCCGGGCCCGCTGAGCCTGCCCCATGGCCACACCCTTCAAGCCCACTGACACAGAGCTTTCCTTCCTACTTTTATCCTGAAATCTAACCTCAGGCAATAGTCGGGAAGATTTATTGCAGAAATACATATCACAAGGCACGACAGGATATACGATAACTATAAAATGATAGCAGAATACATGAATAAACGTGCGCTTTCCGTGAGCGAGGACACAGTGCGACTGTTACGATGTCCGCGGGCGGCATCAGCACCGCTGCGGCTCCGCCCAGGGAGGCCGTGCTCACCCCAGTGTCTGATCCTCTCTCTTCCACCCCTGTCCTCAGGAAGCTGCACTGTACCAGGAACTACATCCACCTGAACCTCTTCCTCTCCTTCATTCTGAGAGCTGTCTCTGTGCTGGTCAAGGACGACATCCTCTACTCCAGCTCCGGCACACTGCACTGCCCCAACCAGCCCTCCTCTTGGGTAAGGCTGTCCTCAAGGTGGAGTCGCCTCCACGGCAAACTCCAGCATCCAAAGCCGCCCTGCCAAGACAACGATGCTCAGTGTGGGCACACTATCCTGGTGAGGCTGGGGAATCAGAAAACTTAGCAGAGAGGGTGGAACAGCTGCTAGGCCCCAGTGGGGCCCAGGCAGGGAGTGCTGGGGCCGGGCCACTCCACAGGTTGACAGTGAAGGATGCTGTCCCCTGAGCCCAGCAGGCCCGGCCCAAGCAAGAGAAAGGCAGCAGCCAGGTCCAGGATCAAGCAGCCCCAGATTGGAAAACGCGGGTGTCCAGGAGGCCTGTGTTTCCTACCACCCCAGATTCTGCGCACTAAGTGCTTCCATCCAGACTGCTGGAGGAAGCCAATCAATAAACCCTTGCTATCATTAAACTCCATGTAAGCCCGCTTGGAAACCCAGCTACATGTCGGGACTGTGCCTGGCCCAACCCTTGGTTGCAAGGATAAATGGTCTGTATGATTAGTTTCTACAAATGCAGTAAAGACTATTTCCCTGTTTCTCATGCTGGCGCCGTCTTTCTCCCTGGGCGCTATTTGTCCTGGTTATTAGTGGTTACTTAGTACCTAATCAAGTGAAATCCAGAAATATTTAATGAGCACTTCCTACTTGCAAGATCCTGACTTCCTCTTTGTGTATGTGATTCTGATGCTGTCCTTGACCTGGGATCTAGCTCCAAGGTTGGACACTGTCACCTCCCACACCTAGGCCATGGACTCATCTGCTGGCTTGTGCATGGCCTGAGCAGGGGTGGATTCATTTAGCTCTGACATGAAGGACTCCCGGTGGCTTAAGGCCACTGCGATACCCTGCAACGAAGGCACATCCAGGTCAGCCTTGCTCTTGATGCAGGACCAGGTTACACGTGGAGTCTGTTGTGGCAGGAAGAGGAGGAGCCCTGGCCCGAAGGAGCCTCCAGGAGAAGTCAGGGTTCCTGGAGCTCCAGCCCTGAGACAGGGACCCTGAGCGTGCGCAACCCTTGCTGAGGTGGCCCCGATCCCTGCTGTAGCTCGCACTTATGGAGGCTGAGCCTCAGCTGCCTCACCAAGCCCGTGTCCCCTAAGTGGCACGTCTCTGCCCTCTTTCGCTAGTTAGTGCCAAGGGCCCTAGTGGGAGGCAGCGGAACCTCCTCGTCAGAGGCCAGGGCAGTGCTGCGCCCTGCCGTGTGTCACCAGCCCTGTGCAGGGCTCTTCTTGTGAGTGCCAGTTTTCCCCAGACACAGACGTTCAGCTGCTATCTTAGTTACTCTTCTCTCACTGCTGAGACAAAATAATGAACACTCGGAGTTAAAGGAGGAAAGACCATTTGGCTCACAGTTTGTAGAGGCTTCAGTCGGTAACGGGCTGGCTGTAAGGCAGGGTGGCACATGGCAGGGGCAACTATTCAGGGCAGGGCAAGACAGCGACAGAAAGCATGAGACAAGCCTCTTTCTTTCCTCATATTGTATCCAGTCTAATGGGCGGTGCGGATCCAATCAGTGGACTGATCCAGCACTCACCCACCCTTAATCCCAGCACCCTTAATCCCAGCACCCTTAATCCTAGCATTGAACCATGAATCAATCACACACTCTAGATCCAGTCTGCTCTGAGAAAACCCTGTGACCACACGAAGCTCTGGGGGGACATCTGGGCATAAACCATAGCAACTGCCTTGAAGAGCAATTGCCTTGCTTCCTCAGTGAAGGAACTGATAGGCGAGGCTGGTGTCTACCCAGAGCCCAAGTGTACTGGGACAGAAAAAATGGAGATGACTTATAAAGGAGTTGATTTGGACTCCAAGAAGGCCTAATTCTACTTCATAGCAAGGGAGACACCACAGGAAAGGCATAGGGGTGCAAGGCCACCTCTTGGCAGGTCCACAGGGGAGCATACTGTATGACAGGGCCACTCAGCGAATCCCTCCGGTGCGCACTCCGTAGCAGCGTCGCTGGTAATCGCCACCAGATGCATACGTAGCGACAGCACTTCCTGGCACATCCCGTGGAGTGTGTGCACTCAGCAGCAGCACCCAGCAGCTCCGTGAGCGGCAGCAGGAGCCTAACGGTAGTGCTGCTCGGTGGGCTCAGTGGCTGGTTAGAGATGGGTCGCTTCACATTGTGTATGTGTGCACATGTAGACGCACACCGTGTGTGTGTGTGTGTGTGTGTGTGCGTGCGCACACGTGTGTAAGCACATCTGCCACGTGTACATGTAGCATGTGTCATTTGTATACGTACAAGCACAAGTTTAACTGTATGAAAGGACATCTGGAAGTTGAAAATGAATTTATTGTATAAAATATGGTGTTTCTCTAGTGGCAATGCTTTCAGATCCCTGGGAAAAATAATTCATTTGCTAGATTTCTTATTTTTACCTTTGTTTTTTCTTGATTTAGGTCCTTGTTCATCGCAGCCCTAACGCTAGCACCTGGCACATCCTTCACCCCTTAGACAAACGTGAAGGCAGCATTCTGCCGAAGTTCTTACTGAGGACTTGTTCTCCTTTTTCTGCGTTTCAGGTTGGCTGCAAGCTCAGCCTGGTCTTCTTCCAGTACTGCATCATGGCCAACTTCTACTGGCTGCTGGTGGAAGGGCTCTACCTGCACACACTCCTGGTGGCCATCTTCTCCCCCAGCAGATGCTTCCTGGCCTACCTGCTCATTGGGTGGGGTGAGGACTCCCCCACCCCGACTCTCTCCCTGACTCCACCCTCTGCCAGGCAACAGATCCTTCAGCCCAGAAAACCCTTCACTTCTTTATGTGTACCTCAAAACCATGGAGGGGAGCAGGAGGTTCCAGAAGACAGGACGTGGTGCCCTATTGCTGAGACAAAATATCCAACACTCAGTTAAAGAAGGAAAGGGGGTTACTTGGCTTGAAGTTTGTGGGACTTTCAATCATTACCAGTTGGCTCCAAGGCATGGTGGCATGGCAGACAGGTACCAAAGAGGAAAAACAGCTCATGGCAGGCAGAAGGGAACAAGATGACAAGGAGCGATCACAGCTTTTTCTGTCCCTTTTATCTCATCCAGGCTACCTAGAGCAGGCGACACTCTCACCTTAATCCTAGCGCCCTTGATCCTACCACTGCACCATGAGTCAATCCCAGCCTCACACACTAGATCCAGCCATTTCTGAAAAAGACTTCCCACCCATGACTGCAGGAAGCTTTGGGGAGTATCAGGACACAAGTCATAACACTTGGGTATTTCTGGAAATCAGAGACCTAGTTTGAAATGTTTCAAATCTCCATTCCTGGCTCCATTTGCTCCAGATTCAAACTGAGCTGCTAACAAAAGGAGAAATTCTTTGTGATTCCTCCCTCTCCCAAGCCAGCTCATGATGCTTAGAAATCAGAAATAGGGAGGGACAAAGGAGGAGCAGCACAGATGTCACCCGCATAGGTTCTGTGTCAGGCTCTGGGTTGGCCTGGAGGCAGGGGGCACGTGCTTCATCACTTGGGGCCTCTGAGTCTGCACCTGTCCTTCCTGCACCCAAAGCCTGGTCCTATCCTCACTCAGACCCTCAACTTTCAGATGGCCTGACTGTCTTGTTGCCTTGGAAGGCACAGGTATAAATGCGGCCGTACTGGTGAAGACTTGACCCTTGGGTGGGAAGCTCTTTCCTGGCAGTCTGGCCCAAGCTCCAGCTGGGTTGGGCCTGACTGACCTCTGAATAGGGTGGTCTGACCCACTGTCTCCTACAGGCATCCCCACCATCTGCATCGGAGTGTGGACAGCTGCCCGGCTCTCTTTAGAAGACACAGGGTAAGTTGCACCCACTCCTGGCCTACAAAACGGGTCAGCCAAGCTAGCCATGTGGGAGCCCCAGAAGCTCATACCTGGTAAGGGTAGGGTGCCTGAGGCCCGGTAAGTGGAAAGCCTCAGACACTGAGAGAAAGGAGCCAGGTCTGGCTGTGAAGAAACCAGGCAGAAGTGGGTGGCATCTCACGTGGCACAGCACATTCACAGATGAAAGCCCGGGAGGGGCGGGTGCTTCCATGGAACAGAGCGGCGAGACTGGGCCAGCGGCTGCCCAGTGACCTCTGCGCCTGGCATGAATGTGCAGACCTTTTCCCATAGCTACTGTGGGCCAGAGCTTCTGCTCTTTCTGTGGAGAGACATATCCTTCCCCTAAGCTACACAGCAGGAGTGCCTAGCACAAGTGTGCTTTATGAAGGCCTGGGGTGTATGCTGTCCTCAGCGACAGAGCCGCTGGAGGTGGGCAGCCCAACCGCACCCACTGGGCTAGTGTATGACTGGGCACACTGACCACTGAGGGACTCTGCCAAGATTTCTCTTCACACCCTGCCCTGGAGACCCCAGGTGAGAAGATGAGCCCTCTGCAGCCCCCTCCTGTGGGCGCTGGAGTTCAGGGTCCAGGGGGAGCTGCAGAGGCTGTTATAGCGTGGATTGTGCTTTTCACTAGAGACAGTCCACACACTGAAAATCCAAACTATTGTCAGACAAAACAGAGAGGGGCCCAGCCAGACCTGCCCCAGATGCTCTGAAGGCATGGTTAAGCCCCACTCAAGACACAGGGAAGCTACTTCAGGAGTGAGGGGGATTAATCTTCAAGACAGAAGGTCTTTTTCTGCTGTCAGCAGATGAAGGCATGAGCTGGAGACTCGCCGACCACCACCCCACCCCCCGCCCGAGATGGCTGCCCAGCCCTCCAGGGCTGAGCCAGGCCGCGCTTCATCCCATGTGTCACTGTAGACTGCAGGGCTGAGACCGGAGAGGAAAGCCTCCCTCACAGGATGCTGCCTTAGCTATCTCCCAGCAGAGCCTGGTGTCTAGGCAGGTGTCAGGAGGAGCGTGGGGCTCCTACAGGAACGGTCACTTACACTGAAGTCAGTCTGACCCTGCTGTCCTTCTCCTCCACAGTTGCTGGGACACAAACGAGCACAGCATTCCCTGGTGGGTGATCCGGACACCCATCCTGGTCTCCATCCTAGTGAGTAACTTCCAGGGGAAACGTGGTTTCCCCTGGATATGATGGTCATGTGCCTCTTCATCCTGCAAACAGCCCTGAGGGATGCCAGGGCCTCAAGGGCCTCAGGGACATGGTTCCCCAGTAAGGAGGAGACCCCAAGGCTCCCTTGGCTAGACTTGGGGGCCAGACTGGGCTGGTATCTGCCTCATTTGCATCCCACTGTTCTGAGGCACATGGTAGTGGCTTCATGGTGACAAGGTCTTGCCCTGCAGATGCCCCACATCCCCTACTGTACACAGAGAAACCAGGCACCATCTCTCTGCACAGGTCAACTTTGTGCTGTTCGTCAGTATCATAAGGATTTTACTGCAGAAGCTGACATCCCCGGATGTGGGCGGCAATGACCAGTCCCAGTACAAGTGAGTATGTTTCTGTCTGGCCCTCATGTCCATGTGCCACAGTGGCTACAGGTGTGGCTGGTGCTGAGCCCTGGACCTGCTGGCTCCTGTGCAAGTGTTGATGCATGCCAGGCCCCTGGGGTGACTGTGCTGTTAGGCAGTGACCACATTCCTCTGAGGCAGCCTGTCCCCTGAGCCACACAACACTCAGGTTAGCTGTCTTCTCTGTCAGACCTTGTGTTCCACAGCCACAGGATCACAGCTAGCACCTGATGCCCTCTCCTGGTGACAGTCTGGTGGTCATTCACAGGTTAGGTGAATGCCACCATCATCCCTCAATAGGGGGCACGAGCCAGGGAAGTCCCAGCCCAATAGTGATGATCCATGAAGAAACCTGGAAATCCCATACATTTTTGCCCACAGTTCATAAAGAACTTGAATCCCTACCTTGGGTCTGAGTAAGCCCGAGTCTGGTGTTGAACTCAGGAGGAGCCTGGACAGGGCTGCATGGCTCGGAGCTGTGTCACCTGGGTGGCTGCCCGTCTGCTCATGCAGGGATCAGAGTGGCCAAGCTGAGGACGACCCCGGGATGGAACTGAGAAACTGACCCACACTTGGTCCTTGGTTTCCACATCTGTGAAATGGTATCACTGTCCGACACAAAGTCTGAGGGTCCACTGGGGTCACCCAGAAAACACTGAGAATCTGCAGGAGGCAATGTGGGAGGCTGGGAGAGTGCTGCATCAGCCAGGGTCTCACTATGAAAGCCAAGGGCGACTTACCCTGCTCAGCCAATCCCTGGAAATCGACCCTTGGCAAGCCTTCCTGTCTATGCTGGCCTCCCACAGGCTCCTTGGTTTGAAGCCAGCCTTGAGATACTTTTGTTTTCAAACAAAATTGTGTGGCTGATGAAACCAGTCTCAGAGAGGGAAAGACAGGGTGCTGTACTGCACCCCAATGTCTGCAGAGAGGTGGCCAGCCCACCCTGCATACCAGAAACCATGTGGGCATGCCAACAAGGCAGGCTCTCTTGGCCATCACAGTGCCCAGAGCTGGGCTTGACAGGCCAGCTGCCCATGGTGGGGGAAATCCCGGGACAGGACAGCCTTCCCCAGTCAGATGGGGATTTAAGGCAGGTTCCTCAAAAATGAGCCAAAGAAGCTGGTGTTAGCTGGTGGCAGCCTGTAATTATAGCTTTTTGGGAGGCTGAGGCAGAAGGGTTGAGAGCTTGAGCCCAGCCAGAGCAACTTAGCAAGACCCTATCTCAAAGGAAAATGTTTTAAAATTCTTGGAACGTGGCACAAGTACTTCAAGGAGAAAGCAAAGACAAACATGGAGGAAGAGAAAATGAGAAGTGGTTGTTGAATTTGGTGGTGCTTTCCAGAGTGTTGGGGGCCTGCTGAGGGAAGGTGGGGTGCCCCTACCTAGCTCCTTCAGCTCAATGTCCAGGCAAGCAGGGGCATCTTGGTCTCAGTACATTGCCTCTGGGTGATGTTAACAGATCCCTGGTCAGGCCTGTGACTCCAAAGAGTGGTCACAGAGCCACAGCCTACAGCCAGGTTCTTAGAGCAGGTCCAGTCATTCCTGGGTACACTGTGGGGTCAGTGGGCCCCCACAGGGTCTGGGCTGTCACCAGGCTTCCAAGCCAGAATTCCCAGGGGCTGAGATTCCAGACCTCTGGCTAAAACAATTTGAGGAGCAGGGTAGAAGGGGAGGCCCTCTTTGGGAATACGCATGTGGGTGTGCAGCCACTCTTGGCAGACTTGATGCCCACCCACAGCCACCTCTACCTCATCACCATGCCCACATCAACAGCTGTTGGCTCATTGTGCCCTAAAGACACCTTGCTGGGTCAGTCCTGTGATCATCTTGGTGACTGACCCAGGACAGTTATGAAAAGTACAGTCCATCTGCTGAGAGCCACACCATGCATGAACCCCACAGAGCACCTGTGACAGCATCCCCTTGGGAGCCAAAGCCTTTGCTACCTTCTCAGGTGCACAGGGCAGCAGCCCCAGGGACCGGGACTGTGGGTGCAAGAGGAGATAGGGCCATGCATGCCCCGCCCCTCATACCCTGGCTTCTGGACCCTCCATCACTGTCTCTCTCCTTCCGGCCCAGGCGGCTGGCCAAGTCTACACTGCTGCTCATACCGCTGTTTGGTGTGCACTACATGGTGTTTGCAGCCTTCCCCAACGGCATCTCTGCCCAGTACCAGATCCTGTTTGAACTGTGTGTCGGATCCTTCCAGGTGGGTTCAGGGGGTACAGGTGGGCACGAGGGGCCATGGACCACACTGACACCTTCCCCTTGCAGGGCCTGGTGGTGGCAGTGCTCTACTGCTTCCTGAACAGCGAGGTGAGTTCCGGCCCCGGTTTCCTCCCTGCTCCATGTTGTGCCTCCAGCCCCTCGCAGCCAGGCCAGAAGCCTTCCCTGCATATTTTGGCCCAGCTTCCTTCAACACCATGGTTTCCTCCCTCCATGGGCAGAACTCAATGTCCAACACACCTGTGGTCAGCATCCTACCCCTTGACCACAGCTCAGCCTCAAAAGCAGGGCTTTGGACCCTGGGCGCTGGACCTCCAGGAAATCCCCACTCATCTCAAGAGGAAGCTGGAACCTGGGGCCTTGCTCAGCCCTTCACAGCTGACAGCGCTGCTCCTCCCCATTTCTGAAGACATCTTTCCAGATGAGCTTCGATCCCCTGCATCGCCCCTTCCCAACCTGCACAAATGATAGCACTCTCATTCAGACTCCTGAGAGGGGGAAGACCAGCTGCCCCCATATGGCCAGGACTGTGCCTGGACAGGCCAAATCTGGTACCAGCAGACCCAGAGGTGTCAGGAGCAGCAATGCCAATGTCCATCAAGAAATTTCCCACCCATCCCCACAGCCCCCGCCAGTGGCACTGGGACGGCTGAGGGAATCCCTCTTGCTCTGGCTGGACATCCCCCATCTCCTCTGCTCCAGGCCATCTTTGTCCAGCTGATCAGCAGTGGAGATGGTGACAGGCCCTTTACCCAGAGCAGACAGCTAAATCTGTGGTGCCCTTGCCCAGGTGCAGTGTGAGCTGAAGAGAAGGTGGCGTGGCCTGTGCCTGACGCAGCCTGGGAGCCGAAACTATCGGCTGCACAGCTGGTCCATTTCCCAGCATGGTTCAGAGAGCGCCCTGCAGGGGCACCGGGGCTCCCGCACACAGTCCTTCCTGCAGACAGAGACCTCAGTCCTGTAGCCATGTCCTGCAGTGTGTGGCTTCCTCCTGCTGCCCCACTGCCATCACTGGGCCAACCTGAACTTGCCTACCCGCAACATAATCTGCTCCTCAGCTCAGCACTGTGTATGGAACAGGCAGCATCATAGTGGACTTGATGTAAGTGCTCATTGTTGTTAAGTGGCAGCATTTAGATTGTTTCGCTTATAATGTTGCTCAGCTGTATAGGTAAATCCACTTGCACCATGAACAGAGGAGACCAAGCCCTAAAGGTCAAAACCACATCTGTGGCCTAGAGCTGTGGCCAGAGGGGGCAAATTGTTCTTAGGTTGCTGTCTCCGCCCAGCATGGGTTTTATGCTGGGACCTGAGCTGGACGTTGTGCTCTGGCCCCCATACTCTGGGCAGAAGCTGAGTCTTCAAGCTACAACAGACCAGATGCAGTTAGCACGAGCAGTGCCCTGCCCTCCCTCTCTCCTGACCCATGACCACGTCCCTCTAAGGCCTCTGTACCCAGCATCTCAGCCTGACCGCCAAGGGACAAGATGACTGGAGGAGGGCCAGGCCCAACCCTAATCCTGCATTGGTAGAATGATAGGGACAGGTGTTACCTGGGGACAAAAGAAAACCTGTTCTAATTTTGATGAGAGTATTAAAGTTTTCTGTTTCAATGGAAATTGTTTTACCAAAATATAGAGTGGTATGAACTGTCCTGTTCAGAATTTGGGAAGAGTACCCCTTGCTTTCCACCCCTTCAGGGTCTGCAGATCCCAAGGAAATGTTGACATGACACAGAGGCAGACATGGGGGAGGGGCACCAGCCCATCCCTGGGCCACACCTTATCCCCACAGCACCCAACCCAGAGGCTGGCCTGCCAGACCCAGGGGTCCATGCCCAGTTAACACCATCTGTTCCTTATAATGAAGTCTTCAGAGTCCCCCTGGAGGCTTTGCTGACCATGTGGATTCTGGCCATGCAGATGCTGGTAGTCAACATGGAGGTGCCCAAGCCAGAGAAAACAAAGAACAAAGCCCCATACTCATGTCCCTGGAAATAAGAGCTTTGGAACAGCAGGGCCATCAGGGGCAGCTGCACTGCCCATCCAGTAGGGCCATCCCTGGAAGCTCCCACAGTACTTCACATGAGGCCCTTTGTCGGCAATCACAATGGGGTGGGCAGCTCAGGGGAGACAGAGGCCCCAAACCCTAACCTCCATGGGGGAATGGGATGCAGGTGACCCAGGACCTGCAGCGTCCAAGAGGAGCACAGGTGAATTGAGACAGCCCTGACTCAGCAGCCTCTCTAGCCATTGCTAGAGGGAGTGAAACACTGCTGCCATCCAGGGCTGGGTGTGTGCTGTGGCCCTGAACAGAGCCAAGAGTTGGTAGGCACCATGGTCCTTGTTACTGGTGTGGCATCAGCCACACACAAAACATGCTTGCTACCTAAGCAAGGGCTGAAGGCAGGCAGAGACCTGGACTCTCATGCCTGGAGACAGGAGGAAGAGCCTATAAACAGGGATGAGGGAGTTGAGGAGGGGCAGAGCAGTGGGCCATGTTACTGTGTGCTCTGATGTGAACCAAGTGTGTGTGTCTGTAACAAACTTACCCTGTGGGGCTAAGCTAGGCAGATCCTGCTGCAAACATGGTGTCACATCTACCATGAGTATAGATTTGCCGTGATGTCCAGCACAGGGGTGCAGACAGAATCCCACGGGCCACATGACTCCTTGGAGGATGTTTCCCTGGAGGCTGTCCCTGACCCTTCAGGTCCTCAAGGGAGAAGGCAGGTCTGAGGTAGCTACGGAGCACATGTGGCATGCCTGTGTGATCTCACCACCTTCCCCCCCATCAGCCCCCCCAGCTCCCCAGAACCTGAAGACCCATCAGTCAGAACCAGAGGGGGCCCCCTCACATGTGTGTGCATGTGCACACATGAAGACATGCACATATATGTATGTGCACATGAGAGGGTGTGTGTTCCTATGCACACACACATGAGAGGGTGTACATCCTGTGGGTGTGTGTACAAGGGGTGGGTATACCTGTGTGCATGCTGCAGCGTGCACATGTGTGTGTTTATGCATGTTTGTGCTTTCCCTTAACCTCATTACTCCACAGGCAGAGCAAGTATATTTATACCCCACACTTAAGCAGACGACTGCATTGTCAAGAGAAACATACACAGGGCTAAAAACAAACTCTCAGATGCCAGACTTAGAGATGAGCCACACAGACCACTGTCTAGTGAGTTCCTCAGCGCAAAGCAGGTGGCAGTGGGCAAGGGCCAGGGCTGGTCCTCTCTGCTGAGAAGGGTGTGGCTCCACTGGATGAGAAGTGTGAGGGAGAGACTCTGGAAGATTTTCCTCCAAGGAAAGTCCCCAGGATGAGTACAGAGGTGACCACAGGTGAGTCCCAGCCCAGGCTTTGGATGCAGGACACACTGCTCTGTAGAGGTGCTGGTGGAGGGCACTGGTATCAGTCCAGGATTTTCCTGTCTACCAAGCAGATCTTCCCTACTGTCCTCTGTTTATTCATGGAAATCAGGCTGCCTTGTGCAGAGATTCTGCAGCCTGCTTTAACCAATTAAGATGGCGCAGACATCCTTCCCATCTAGATGTACAGACCCTCCTGCCTCAGCTTCTCACATACCTGGGCTTGTAGCTCTGTGCCCTCACATCCAGCTCAGTCTACTTCACAGCCTGAATATAACCTTCTTTGGCCAATTCCCATCTATTTGAGCTGCTTTTTACATGCATTTATGTCTGCCTGAGTATTCTCATGGAATAAACCCTTAAGGTAGATGTGGGATCAGGCGTCTGCCCTGGGTGGTGGGACTGGGTCACGCTCCAGCCACTCTGAGAAGCATCGCACACCTTGCTAGCGGCTTGTCTCTTCCAGGGACTGCAAGGGCCCCACTGGCTCGGCTCAGCATGTCTTTCACTGTAAAGACCTGCTGTGAGTGTCTTGTCTCCACAGAGAGTTTTTCTTCAGCTTAGTTTAAAGCCAGGCTTCACCTGACCCACTAACGAGGTGGGCCAGCACCAGCCCCCACCACAGCAAAGCTCACGTGTCCTCCTCATGGCCCACGTCAGTGCCGTGCATGGGCCAGCAGGTGCCTGGGAGCTGCTGTGCAGGCGCTGGTGCCACAAAGGATCCAGGGCATCTTTTATGCCAAGAAAGCGCTCACTGAGGGTAAAGAGAAAAAGGTGTTTCGCTTCCTTTGTATTTTTTGCACGACGATGAGGGAAGTGGGGCAGGCGGCCCCAGCTGGCAGCACCCCCACTACCCCTCATCTTCTGCCCTGCGGGATGCCCTGCAGAGCATCAGGAGCCACCCTCAGCTGGACGCCCCCAAGCTGGTCCTGGAGACCTGCTTAGACCTGTGTATTCAGCACCAGGAGCTGAAGGAACAACAGGGAGATAAACTTTTGGCACACAATCGCCAAGCCATAGCAACCTGGGCCAGACCCTCTCTGAGACTCGGCTTGGCAGCCTCATGTCTGAAGGCCACGTGTGGCAGTCCAGGAAAACAGATTCAGTGTACCTGATAAACACACATAATGGTGATTCAGGCATGCGAGTTCAGCATGTGAAAGAGTTGTTACTTTAAAATCACAAATTCCCACAGTCCATCCAGAGCCAGCCTGAGAAGCAGGCGTCTGCATAGCCTGTGGTGGTTCTTCCTCCTGGCCCCAGGGCACCCCTCATCTGCCAGAGCTGGGGACCCAGACCTGAGTTTGTGCCCTGGAGCTCCAGGGTCCTGTGGAGAGGAAGGGAGAGAAAAGAACTAGTCGAGGTAGGACAGAGCAGCCTAGCACAGAGGTACAGCTCGCAGCAGGATGCTGGACCAGTGCTAGTCAGGCCAGTGTGAGCTGTGTCCTGCTCCAGGACACATGTAAAGTGCTTCCAGGACTCTGTGGGCCTCAGCAGGGAGGCCAGGCAGTGACCATGAATGAGGGCCTCAGACAGGGCCAAGGTCCATGGCCCTGGGGAACTGCAGAGAGGGTCTAGAACCACAACAGAGACAGAGCCCAGGGGGATGCGCAGGAGCCCAAGCGGCACCACAATGCCTAAGGCTCACAGAGCCGCATGGGGATCAGCTTAGCGTCCAGGTCAAACTCTCAGCTGCTCTGCTGGGTGCCCAGGGGTTTTGTGTTCAACAAGCCCAGATCCCATCCAGGCTAGCACCATAGAAAACTTGGGTGCTGTTACCTTGGGACAGAGGGGACCCCACCTAGGCTGGGGGGCTCCCAGAAAAGGAAATGGTATGTGGGCTATGTTTGCTCCCCACTTACCCAGTCCTAGGCCATGGGAGCCAAAGCAGGATTACAGACAGGTTTTTGTTTTATTTTGTTTTGCATTTTTAGGGAAGGGTCTACAGGGTGTTCAGGGTCTCACTACTAGATTGGACTTGTAGTGATCTGCCTGTTCACAGTCTCCTAAGAGCTGGAATTACAGGCAGGCACCACCACACCCAGTCTCAATTGCAATCTCAGCATGCCCCAGGGGCAGGGCCAGCACAGCAGGTATGGAGATGGAATCCCGGCTGCTGTGCCTGCCTGTAGGGGCTTTAATCCATTGAGCTATTTGGCCGGTCCTTTACAGACAGTTCTATAAGACTGTGAGGTACACAGAGCCAACATCAACACCTGGTGGACCACACCTGGTTGACCAGGTGCACTAGGATCACCTGGTAACAACATTGAGACACAGGGAACAGATGCCACGGAGATCCACACTCAGACCACCATGCAACTGTGACCCAGTTCTGGCGACCACCAGGACCCATCCTGTCCTGTCCCAGAGGTACTCTGTATCCTGAATCTGGACACCATGAAGACCCAGAGGCCTGTGGTCCTATCCCAGGTCTACCCCACATCCTGAAGTTGGGCATTTGGTAACCCTTGTGCCAGAAACCATAAAAGGCTAACGGAATAAGCAATAGTAGTCTTTGTAAAGACTCTTACATCTCCTCCTAAGAAAAGTGAATTGAGTCTGGATCCTTAATTGCCAGCAACATTGTTACAGATCTTGTGACAGTATAGCAGGCTGCCACTTCCACAATGTGTGGTTATGCCTTTATTTAGTGGCTTTGATATCTTGTAGTATTATCATAATACTACGCAACATTAATTTCATAGCACATTACTTACCATTCTTAGTTACTGTCTGCACTTCAAATCTAGTATAAATATTCAAGTATTCATTCCAGTTTTCCCTATAATTTCATTATTGGGAAATTTCCCTACTTTAATGTTCTGAGTTGTATGTATAAGAATGATCATTTGATATTTATAATATTAATGACCAAGAATTGAAGATAGTGTAAGTATTCAATCTTCTTAAAGTGATTAAGAAGTGAATATAGAGTAAAAATCCTGGCCTGGGAGGCCCGCTGGGCCAGTGATGACTGCGAGTACTGTGTGCCATAGGTCCTTGTGTGAAGCCACTGCACACCTGCCTCCTCCCATGATGCCAGGCTGTGGAGGAGCTGGCCGTGAGCAGAAGCCAGCTCTGCCCCAAGAACAGAGAAGGTGCCGTTAAAGCTGGACACGCCCCAGCTTCCCACCACACTGCATTCCTCCAAGTAATTAACTCTGCCAAGCAAACCGTTATTAATGCAACACAAATTCCATGATCCA